AACAACAAAGGGCCACATGGCAACGGAGTCTCGCTGGATCCTGCATCACGTCAGGGACCCAGCCCTCTAAGATTTCCAGGGAATCAAACCACATCCCAGTTCTGTAAAGCAGCTTTGCTAGGAATGCAAAGGAAAGGTGTCTACGCATCACCTGGGCTCGGTCACATCACTTATTCATCAACAGTTCATTGAGCCTGGTTCACTCTGTGGGGCTGTTGGGCTCCAAGGCAGGTGAGCAAGGACCTGCGTGGAGACATCTGCCGGCTGGGGAGGCAGACCAGTCACACACAGGGGAGAAGCGCTTTAATTGCACAGGCAGGGAAAAGCACGTGCCGGATGAGAATGCGGGGTGATTCTGGAAGCTGCTTTGAGGACAAGTCTTCTTCAGGCGGGCTGGCAGAGTGGGGTGAGGCAGGGATGCTCGGGTACCAACTCATCGCCCTAACTCTGCAAAGTCACAGTGCTCTCAGGTGGCATAAGGATGAATTGAGACATTTTCCAGGGAAAGATTTAGGAATGGGAAAGGAAAGCGTACTTTTATAACCATGGAAACAGTCCTGGATACATCTTCTGTTGTGCAAATTAGACTCTGCTGGGTGGATTTCTCTCCAATTGACCAGCCCCTGCTGCCTTGCCAACGTTCAGCATTCAGCCAGCACCCCGGCTGCCCCCAGAAGTCCTGGGAACAGTGGATGCCAGGCTTCCTGTCCCTTTAGATGGTTTCTTTGAGGGCAAACGCTCCCATCTGATGGAGAGAAATTTCTTCGCTCTTCTCTTCCACATCCTTCAAGGCAGGGCCCCCCTTGGCTCTGTTGGAATGAAAAAGCATTAAGTGGGGCAAGGCGGGATAGAGGTGGTTAGGGAAATGGTGGAAGGGAGTGTCTCCAGTGACCCAGAGCCCAAGGGGAAGGTGAGAGTCCCTCAGTGGCCACCTTCCCACCGCCCCTCCTCAGGGTCAGTCGCTGGGCTCACTGCGTTGGCAGCAGCAAGACGACCCCCTGGGGGCTGTGCCCTTCTTCCCCTGACCCAGGTACGTGACAGCCAGCCAGCCCCAGGAGGCAGGAAGGGTCCAAGGCTGAAGGTTCTGGGCTGTCCCTGCTCTGGGCTGCTTTTCAAGGACCACACTCAGGGGAAGGGTGACAGGCAGGGCGATCACCTAGACTCTGAGGTCCCCTTACTCCCACAAAGCCTGGGACTCCTTATCCTTTGAACCAGGTCTGCTGCCCATTTTGTCTTCTTCGTTCTAAACCTCTATCTCCACAGAGGTTTGTGTTCTAATCTCCTGGAGTTTATCCTTGGATTGTGCTCAGA